GTCTGTGGAGGGGTATTATGGCTAAAATAAACCCCTTCCCTCTGCGGGGAGGGTCTGGTGCTCCAGAAACTTAAGGGAGAACTGATGGAAAAGGGCCTGGAGATGTGGAAGGGACCAAAGTGTGGGAGAGCCGGCAGGGACGGTGATTGTTCCCAAAGCAGCAAAGAATAAGTCCCCATCCGATGCAATCATATAGATTAAGTATATGCATAAGTAGCACACAAAAAAGTCAGAGTTCTTACTAAATTTTACTAACTTTAAGAGGGCTTAAAAATAATAATCATCAAGACTTGCTTTATAATAATGCCACTCTGATTATCTGCATGTCACTACAAATCAAAGCTCTGGTAAGTCCTATATACATTGTCCTTCAGTAGTAATACTAAAATCAGGCCATATTTTTTCTAGAGACAAAATGGGATTTCAAAACAGTCTCCTGAAAATAATTATTTTCCCCTCCCTAAAATTTATACCAAGCATGGTCACTGCCTTGGGAAAATAAAAATATGGTCTATAATGGTGGACTGTTTAAATGATAAATATATTTCCTCCATAATAATTATTCACAGCTAAAAGGAAAAGAGTTTAATAATAAGCAATATAGAGTCCTTGAATGCTGTGCTGGAGTCAAGGAAAGATAAACCAGAGACCAAGGCTGGATCCAGTTTGCTTGTCATAACATTTCTTTGACTATACTGACCTCTGGTGGCCATTGGAGGAGTTTTTTTTTTTTTTTTTTTTTTTTTTTTTTTAAATAACGGGGCTTATTTTCCCTTAGTTGTGTGCCTTAACATTGTATCACCTAGGGGGGCTCCTTCTACAATGTATATGTATATTAAATCATCACATTGTATACTTTAAATATCTTACAATTTTATTTGTCAATTATATCTCAATAACGCTGGAAGGAAAAAACATGATATCACCACTAATAAGTTCCTGATCAATATGCCTGTCTTCAAAAAGATAAAGATGTTTATAGAATGTGGAAAAGGGGACATTATATTTAGTTCAAGACCAGTGACTATGGTATAGCTTTCACGCATTCATTTAACAAGTACTGACTTCTACCTTGTGCAAAGAACTGCGCTAAGTCTCCAAGACACAGGGGAACAAAACTCTGGCTACAGACCTCAAACAGACTCTGCGTATCAGGTCCTGCCAATCAAGTGACAGGAATGGACCAAGAGAAGCACAGTGTGCTACGCAAACGTCCAGAGGCGCTAGGCCATCAAAGATAATGCCTGAGAACAAAAGCAAGGAGCTAGAAAAACAGCAGAAAAACAGGGCTCCAGGCAGAGGGAGCAGCCTGCGTGGAAGGCTCTGGGACAGGACGGACTGGCGAGTTTAAGAAACTTAAGGAACAATACATCTAAAGCATAGAGTTCAAGGGTAAGGGTGGCCCTTAACAAGGCCAAAGAGGTGGGCAACGACCAGATTTTGTGAATGTTTTTTTAATTTTTCAAGCACTTGAATTTCCTTAAGAGCATTTATCTTTTTTTCCTATTAAAGCAATAGGACAGGTCAAGTCCACAAACTACTACATGAGAAATCCGGTAATTCTTTCACCCTGCAGTCTCACATCTCCCAACCTTTCTCCACTACTCTAGTCTCCTCTCTCCCCTGGTACATATTCTGTGTACCAGTCACTGAACAAAGGAATCCCAGAGAGGCTGCTACCCCCAAGGCTGAGACCTGGTCACTGTGCAGAGGTGGCCTCGGAATGGGCCAGCGATGGACATCTGACCCAGTGACCCATCCGCGGGCTGCCAGCCACCCATGCAGAGGCTTGCTTGTAGTACTCTGAGGACACGGTTATTAGGCTAAGCCAATGCGCTCAGTCCAGATCTGGACCAGAGAACACCCTAGAGGCTGGAGAGAAGTGAGGGGAATGGGGCCGACCACAAGGACAGAGGAAGCCGCTGGCTCCAAAGCACAGGCGCTCATGCTGACAACAGACCATCTTTATCCCCAGGCGGCCTGAGTGAGTCTCGCTCCTTGGAGGCACCTGACGGGCCTCACTGACTGAGCGCCTCACAAGTCCTCTGCTATTGCACCACCTTGTGTTCTTCTGTCACCCTTGTGTCACTTAACTTTGTCATAATTGTCATCTCCCCACAATAGTCTTTGAAGACAGAGATCAGATGTTAGGCTTCCTGGTATCCTATCACTGCGCTATAAGCCCTCAACACATATTTGATGGAGGATGGTAGATGGATGGATGGACTGGTGGATGGATGAATGGATAGATGGATGGATGGACAAACAGCTGATTCCTGGGGAAATGATAATGAAACCAAAACGTGGGAACAGAGAATAAAGTCCTAACTCCTTAAAACTCACAACATGCCTCCTAATCTGCAGCTCCCAGCATCCTCGACATGCCCCAAGCCCTCCGTTCCCCAGTGCCCAGACCCCGGGGCTCTCCTTCACCTTTCCTGCCTCGACACAAACCCTCCTCTCTCCTACGTCTCACAAACACCTACTCTGTCCGCCTTTTCTACAGGCTCCAATGTCTGGTCCCCTCGGCGTTCATCACCCCCGCTCTCAGCCCCCATAACTCCTTGTACACTTTCTCACTTCCTCTGAGGCACAAGCTCTCCACGAGCCCAGCGTGATCCTCGTCTTCATGCAGATGCTCAAAAAACATGTGCTAAGGGGACCGAGTTCTGCTTTTAAAATGTGGCCCCCGAAAATGCTAACTAAAGGAAAATTTTTTAAGTTTTAATTTATTAGGGTACTTGGTACTTTTATCTTACCTCAGGCCACCCGCTAATGAATGACTATTCCTTCTAATAAAGTGGCTCTCGAAGGAGGAGGGAGAGGACATTTTTCGAAGGGGACATTTGGTGACATCTGGAGACATCTCTGGTTGTCACGACTTGGAGGGAGGGGACAGCTGCTACTGGCATTTAGTGGGTAAAGGTCAGAGATGCTGCTAAACGTCCCACAGTGCACAGGACAGCCCCGCAACAAAGAATTTGTTACCGTAATGTCAAAAGTGAGAAGCCCTGTTCTAATAGAATTTTTAAAGCTCTCATTTGTGAATGTATATACATTTTAATAAATTCCAAAGAAAAAATTAGAAAATATTCAATGAATCTTCAAACATCACAGAGTGATGCACCAGAGAAAACCCGAGGCAGAGACATGGAGGGCGTTCTAGTGCCCCTGCCCTGTTAGACCTCGGAGCCATGAGAGTTGGCAGCAAATACAGGAAGTAAGCAGGGGAGCTGGGCAGAAGGAAGCACAGGGGAGCAGAAGACTGATGTAGCTGTTAAGGTCACTACAGTTTTGTTTTTGTTTTTGCTTTTGCTTTTAACATCTTTATTGGACTATAATTGCTTTACAATGGTGTGTTAGTTTCTGCTGTATAACACAGTGAATCAGCTATACGTATACATATATCCCCATATCTCTTTCCTCTTGTGTCTCCCTCCCACCCTCCCTATCCCACCCCTCTAGGTGGTCACAAAGCACCAAGCTGATCTCCCTGTGCTATGCGGCTGCTTCCCACTAGCTATCTATTTTACATGTGGTAGTGTATATATGTCCATGCCACTCTGCCACTTTGTCCCAGCTTACCCTTCCCCCTCCCCGTGTCCTCAAGTCCATTCTCTACGTCTGTGTCTTTATTCCTGTCCCCCCCCTAGGTTCATCAGAACCATTTTTTTTTTTTTTAGATTCCATATATATGTGTTAGCATATGGTATTTGTTTTTCTCTTTCTGACTTAACTTCACTCTGTATGACAGACTCTAGGTCCATCCACCTCACTACAAATAACTCACTTTCATTTCTTTTTACGGCTGAGTAATATTCCATTGCATATATGTGCCGCATCTTCTTTATCCATTCATCTGTCAATGGACACTTAGGTTGCTTCCATGTCCTGGCTATTGTAAATAGAGATGCAGTGAACATTGCAGTACATGACTCCTTTTGAATTATGGTTTTCTCAGGATATATGCCCAGTATTGGGATTGCTGGATCATATGGTAATTCTATTTTTAGTTTTTTAAGGAACCTCCATACTGTTCTCCACAGTGCCTGTATCAATTTACATTCCCACCAACAGTGCAAGAGGCTTCCCTTTTCTCCACACCCTCTCCAGCATTTATTGTTTGCAGATTTTTTCATGATGGCCATTCTGACCGGTGTGAGGTGATACCTCATTGTGGTTTTGATTTGCATTTCTCTAATGATTAGTGACGTTGAGCATCCTTTCATGTGTTTGTTGGCTGCATGAGCTGCTTGTATATTTGGGAGATTAATCCTCTGTCCATTGATTCGTTTGCAAATATTTTCTCCCATTCTGAGGGTTGTGTTTTCATCTTGTTTATGGTTTCCTTTGCTGTGCAAAAGCTTTTAAGTGTCATTAGGTCCCATTTGTTTATTTTTGGTTTTATTTCCATTTCTCTAGGAGGTGGGTCAAAAAGGATCTTGCTGTGATTTATGTCATAGTGTTCTGCCTATGTTTTCCTCTAAGAGTTTTATAATGTCTGGCCTTATGAAATTAGAACACTCCCTAACACCATATACAAAAATAAACTCAAAATAGATTAAAGACCTAAAGGTCACTAGAGTTTTTAAAACAAAGATAAAGTAGGTTAGACCAATGTCTCGTCAGAAGTCATTACTCTGAGACATAAGATTTGCCAAATAATAGCTATGTATTCATTACTTAGTTTTAAAATACTCAATGTGTGCAATAACTAAATACAATAAATATTTAATCAGCTTTATACTAAAATGTGAAACCTCTTAACCTTCAAACGTTACATTATATAAAAAGACAACAACGATTAAAACTCTAATACGTTATAACACAGGCTAACCCATTGCTAACGATAGTAAATTAAAAATAAAACCACTTAAATTATCTAGATACTCAGATTAATTTTTTTCTGTTCACTAAATAAATGACTTCAGAGATATTTTCCCCACCGGACCTATTTAAAACATTTTAACATTCCCCCTCCAAAATGTATTTATACTCACATTCACTCGAACTTGGATGGACCAGTCACCAAGTATTGGATGGGAAGATAACTGGAAAGTTTTGGAAACGACTCCAAGATCACTTTGTTCTGACAACCACTGTCGGATCAAATTTGACTTGGGATCCTACAACGAAAGCCATGCACGTTAACGATATAAAACCCCCCGTCTGATGTGGATCCAACCTGGTTACGAATATGGCCCTGCAGTACTCCCAGGCACACGCAAAATGTGGGACAGAGGGAGTTCTTGGGAAATGTCAGCTCTATACTACCAAAGAAGATGAATAAACATTACTTCTTTTCTCATATTCTCCTGAGAGCACGTGTATTCTGCTCCACCTTTTAAATCTTGGCACATACATCCTTCTACATGAAACACTACAACGTGTGCCTCACCAAACCTATGCTAATGCTGGGGGTGTGGCTGAGAGAAAACCCAGCTGTAGGGATAACAGGCCCCTGTATCAAAGGCATTCTGCCTTATCACCGCCACTCACACGTCACTCAGTCACTGAGTCCCCGACAGCACAGGATTATCCTCCCATTACAGCTGAGAAAACGGGCACCCAGAGAGGTTAGGTAAGCCCTCAACCACAAACGGCTGGTCCAATATCACAGCACCAACACATGATGGAACTCAGGATTCAAACCCACGTGTCTTGTGACACAACAGAAGTTGTGTCATGGGGGTGCTTAACCAAGGGGATGCATGAAGAACACCTGAGTCTTCCCAGGCTCTCCCAGAGCACGCTGCCTCCATCCAATCCCATCCCAGCCCTTTCAACTCTGTCCCTCTAACATCTCACGTCCAGCCACCATTTTCTAACTATCGCAACTAACCTCTCTCCTCCAGTTTTGCCCCTCCAATATGTCTTCCCCACTGCCAAACACACACCTGTGGCTGAGGCAAAGTGGCTGAAACACCAGACACTGTTCCTGGCGAATTACAAGCAATGAGTAAACACTCACTATGACCAGTATGTCAGACCACCAGGTGACGATGACTTCTGTTTGCCGACAGAACGAGATCTACACTCCTCTGGGTAGTTTACAAGACTCAGTAAGCTGACCCCATCTACGTTTCTACGCACGTCTTCCTCCAAACATACAGACTTGTTTGCAGCTCGTGCCAAACGCCCATGCACCTAGGCCTCTACCATTGCTGCATAGAAGGCCCTTCCTTCCTTGTCCAGATGGTGAAATAAGCTCCAACTTCCTGCCTTCTACACATGCCTCCAAGAGGCAGGAGTGGCCACTCCCTGGAGAAACCCCAATGCGCCCGGAGTTTACCCCCCTGACATGTACTACTGTTTAAGGTTCTCATTTGTTATCTGGGTTTTTTGGTGTTTTTTGTCAATGTTACTTTTTTTTTTTTTTTTTTGGCGGTACCCGGGCCTCTCACTGCCGTGGCCTCTCCCTCTGCGGAGCACAGGCTCCGGACGCGCAGGCTCAGCGGCCATGGCTCACGGGCCCAGCCGCTCCGCGGCATGTGGGCTCTTCCCGGACCGGGGCACGAACCCGTGTCCCCTGCATCGGCAGGCGGACTCTCAGCCACTGTGCCACCAGGGAAGCCCCATTGTTACTTTTTGGTTTTGGTGTTTCTTTGTTCCCTGGATTATGAACTGTGGGATCAAATTTTTTCCCTGATTCTTTTTTTTTTAAATTTAATTTTATTTATTTATTTATACAGCATGTTCTTATTAGTTATCCATTTTATACATATTAGTGTATATATGTCAATCCCAGTCTCCCAATTCATCCCACCACCATCCCTGATTCCTAATCTCTATCCTCTGACTCAAGGTAGCAGGTTGGCCTGGTTATTAGAAGCCAGAGGAAACCTCCCTCCACAAGCGGGGGGAGACTGTGTAAGTCGGGGTAAGTACAATGCTGAGAACTGAGTAGGAAGTGGTCTAGGAAGGCAGAAACTAATTGTTAAAACCAAAGACCAGGGGGCTACCCTGGTGGCGCAGTCGTTAAGAATCCGCCTGCCAATGCAGGGCACACGGGTTCGATCTCTGGTCCGGGAAGATCCCACATGCCGCAGAGCAACTAAGCCCGTACGCCACAACTACTGAGCCTGTGCTCTAGAGCCCGTGAGCCACAACTACTGAACCTGCAAGCCACAACTACTGAGCCCATGCACCTAGAGCCCGTGCTCCGCAACAAGAGAAGCTACCGCAATGAGAAGCCTGCGCACCGCAACAAAGAGTAGCCCCCGCTCGGCTCAACCAGAGAAAGCCCGCGTGCAGCAACTAAGACCCAGCGCAGCCAAAAATAAATAAATAAATTTTAAGAAAAAACCGAAGACCACAAGCGGGTCAAGAATAAGCAGGTCACCATCCTTGGCAAGCCCTGGGGCAGGCACTGCGGTCAGAGCTGGCTCTCCTGCCTCTGTCAAGACTGGGACGGCTATGGAGCTTAAAGGATCAAAAACAAATGAAGAAATACAAAGAGCTAATAAATATCTGCTGTCTAAGAACTAAGGGAATGCAGATGAAAACAATGAAAGGCCATTTTTCTTCCATCACACTGACAAAAATAAAAAATGATAATAATAATTCCCAGTGTCGCTTAAAATGTAGGGAGAGACATGTACATAGTCCGCCGATGTATTATTTGGGTGAAGGTACACATTTCTCCCACAACCCTACAAACAAAGGAAATCCAAACTGAAGTCTTCAGTGACCTGGAGGATCTGCAGGGCTGGGAGTGAATGAGATAAATCCCTCGTTTCTCAAGCCTGTCTTAGACCTGGGCATATCACCCACAAGGAAGAGACAGAGAATGTAGAAATGCCAGAAGTCCTTACAAAGCACATGAGGATTTGAACAGGTGACGCATGGTGGCATCACAGCAGAGCCCAGCATTTGCATGTGGTCACCTCCTACTGGGATGCACACAGGACAGCCACGTATGATATGAACAGTGCCCCTGTCACAGCCTGAACAGCCACGTGGCTGGAGACACTGGGAAAGTGGCCCCTCGTGCTCTTCGAGTCACCTCTGCACAGCCTGGGCTCTCCATCAGGTGCCTGTGTCAGCCACCTCAAGCAATAAACTCCCTGGCTGGAGAAGGCAAATATTTCTGCCAGTCCCCAGAGTCCTGGATTATGCACAAGGTGTGTGCCTAGCATGTAGAATTAAAGACATCAGATCACTTAAATGAGGTGCCACCACTGCTCCAGGCCAAAGTGTCAGATCACAGTCACAGGGCGGACCCCAAGCTAGCAGCTGTGCCCACAAGATCACTCACCTATCCCAGGAGCAACAACTTCTCAGGAAGGGCATCCAGGGCGGAAAACAGCGTGCCAGCTGCCATCACAGCGTTGGAGACACTTATTTCCGTAGTGTAAGGACAGACTGGCTGCAGAAAGCCAGAATTAGGGGAAGAGGTTTATTCCACCATAAAAAGGTCCCTGAATCCCCTTTGCTTCCTGAGAAGGTCAGTTACTGGGTCAGGGAAAACACCCAATGATCCCAAAAAAACACTGAACATGCCATTCTTGGCTGGGCAAGATGGGCCCCAAAAAGCTGGCCTCCTGTAGTTCCCAGATGCCTTCTCCACACTTGCCTGCAGGTGGTGCTGTGCTAGAGAGTACAATTTTGTCCAAGTCAGGGGCTCTCCTTATACTACAGTCCCACTTTTCTCTGGGAAGTTTTTCTAAGAAACCACCTGTCCCATACTGAAAGATGTCGAAAAAGAACACATCACAGTCTGGTGAACCCTGGCCCAAAGGGCTGTTTTCAGATGGAAGAGTGCAGGGTGTGGGCATTCACATCAATGCTCTGACCCATGAGTACTGTGGTGAGTATGGCACCCACATGTGCATTCACTCACTGGTCCCAAACACAGTGGGTTCCGGGTTGAACTCTCCTGCCCTGGCCAAGGGGACCACCCAGCAGCCAGGCCAGCGGGATCCCTCAGGACCATAAATAGCAAAAGGCAGGGCTCTCTGTGCACTTCTGGGAAAGCCAAATGTGACAGGCCAAGTCCAAAATCGGAGAGAGGAGCCCAAAGAATCCACAAATCACAATCAGCAGGGTTCGTTCTGGGTTAACGCTTACAACAGACAATTTATCCAGGGCTGATTTTTATTTGCCTGAGACAGAAAGAGGCAGATCGACTGTAAACAGCCAGACACAGGCAGACGTTCACTTCTAAATCCTCCATTTACACACCGCATTTAGTAAGTTCTCAGTATTTGTGGATAAATCATGAAGGACAGTATGAATGGCATCCATAAACTGCTCAGAGAGTTACATGAATTTAGAAATGCTATTCACTATGGCGACCTGCTTTATTCCAACACAGCAAAGGCAGATATTCACAGAGCGGCTAACTCTGAAACAATACCAGTTCCATTCAGGAAACATGCCAACCAATGTGATATTTGCTATAAACACATCTTGGCTTAAAGTTATATGTACACATGTTTGTTTGCTTGATTTTTGTTTGTGTGTTTGTTTAGCTCATAACAACAACAACAAAAAAACTAATAGGAAGATACTGAACTAAAAAGCCTAAATTTGCCTTCCATTCTGTTATTCCTCAGAACATTTTTTTTCCCTGTGCCACATCTTTTTTTTTTTAACATCTTTATTGCAGTATAATTGCTTTACAATGGTGTGTTAGTTTCTGCTGTATAACACAGTGAATCAGCTACACATATACATACATCCCCATTTCTCCTCTCTCTTGCGTCTCCCTCCCACCCTCCCTATCCCACCCCTCTAGGTGGTCACAAAGCACCGAGCTGATCTCCCTGTGCTATGCGGCTGCTTCCCACCAGCTATCTATTTTACATTTGGTAGTGTATATATATGTCCATGCCAACCAATGTCCTGGGACTGAGGGGATTTTCCAGTACTAAAATCAAGAGAGTCCCGGCAAACTGGTCACCTTATTTCTATGTCATTGGTCAAAGGTCTAATACTCTCCTCAGCTTAAACGTAGAAAACCAGGTCCGGCCGGATGTCAGTTGCCTCCAGCTTGACTACCTCACTGGAAGCACTCAGTCTGCCAACCATGCTGTCTCCAGAGCCCAGAGTACTCAGGCAGAGGAGGCCAAAAGATTTCCTGCCAGAGGGGCTCCTAGTACAACAATAGCTAATGTTTAGTGAGCATGTTCTATGTGCCAGGCACAGTTCTAAATGCTTTACTTGAATCATATCACATAATCCTCACAAAAACCTTTACAAGATATTATTATTTTTACACATTTTACAAATAAGGAAACCGAGGCTCAGAGAGGTTGATTAATTTCCTCAAGGTCACAGAGCTAGCACCTATTCTTCTTAGAGCAGAGAGTGATCCTTTTAAAATGTTAACTCAGCTCACATCATGCCTCTCCTCAGAATTCTCCAGTGAATTTTTTCATTTCACTCACAGTAAAATCCAAAGTCCATATCATAGCCGAGAAAATCCTGTATAGCCCCTCATCCAGCTGACCTACCTGTACCTGACCTTATCTCCCTAATATTTGTCCCCTCACTTCCTGGGCAACAGTGCACTGCAAGCTTGTTCCCCCAATGCACCTAACAAGTTCCCACCTCAGGGCCTTTGTATATGCTATTCCCTCTGTTTGTAGAGGCTCATTCTTTTATTTCCTGTAGGTCTCTGTTCAAATAGGACTTCTCTAACAACCCTATAGAAAACAGCAAACACAAACTCTCTCTCTCTCTCTCTCTCTCACACACACACACACACACACACAAACACACACACACACACACACACTTTTTTATATATCTGTATGTTTATTTATTGTCTGTCTACTACCCACTGGAATGAAAAGTCGATTTAAGCAGGGACTCACCTTCTGTATCGAGGACACAGAAGTTTAATAAATGTTTGACAAATGAATTAATCAATGAAGAAGCCAGGACCAGAACCCAAGCAGGCTTGACTCTGGAGCCTAAGCTCTTAACCCAGTGCTGTACCATCCCCCTTCCTAGAGAAACCATCCCACTTTGGGAGGGAAGCTTAGCCACGTGAATCCTAAGACATCCCAGTACCAACAATGTGAGCAGAACTTCCAAGAGAGCTTCAGTGAGACGGCTTTGAACCCCCAGCTTTATTTCTGTCTGGCACTCACCTTAATTAGAATGTTTAAAGAGGTTTTGTAAGGCTTAAAATCTGAGAAGAGTGTAACAACACGAAACTTCACTTCTTGCTTTGGTTTATACAGGGGCTTGTCTGTTTGAATGAAGACAGTCATTCTCTTGGTCTCAAATGATAATCGCGTACTATTCGAGAATAAAATCTCATCCTGGGCACGTCCAGTGACACGGAGCTCATAAATCTCATCACCACTGTTCAGAGGTAGCTGGGGGGGAAAAGACATCAGATGTATCAAAGTCTCATTGTTTTACCTCAAAAATGTTTTTAACTGTAAGTGAGAATTGAAATTTTAAATACATAGTATTATCAAAAGTAATCGCAATGTTGAAAAATGCATCCCTCCTAACCACCAAAATTAAACAATTTGTTTTCTCTCTTTCAACATCCTGGAGTTTGCTCTCCAGTTAAACCACAGGGGTGCTGGACTGCAGAAACCACGTCCCACAGCTCTGTCAGCAGTCACCTTGTCGCTTCCTATCCCAAGTACAAACTCTTGCGCACTGACAGTCACTGTGGGTCACAATACCCTTCGCCTCCGTGCCTCGCCCTGCCTGAGGCAGTCCACAGGTGAAAGGCACATTTGCACAGGCTTTGTTTTCTTGCCATACTCTCTCCAGGACCTCTCACCTGTTCTAGGATGCACTCTCTTCCTGTATCTTGTGCATCGTGTCACAGTCCTGGTAAGTTTGACGGCACCATTATTTTACTGTTTCTATCACTAGTGGAAATCCTACCTTCTAGCATGAACAGACCAGAAGCCACACTCAGCCTACGCACACCGTGTCATTCTACCTCACAACAATCCTTCCGGTGGGTGCTCTAACTAATACCAGTTTACAAACCAGGAACCTGGGGCTTGGAAGAGTAAAGGAAGTTGCTCCAGGTCACTGGCTGAGATTCAAACCCGGGATGAACTATACTACTCTAACAAGAGCCTTCATGTGATGGTTTTAAAATATGTCCAAAATTTCTCTGACCCTCCTCCCTTCAAAAGTCAGAGCCCCACTCCTGGGCATATACCCAGAGCAAACCATGATTCACAAAGACACACGCACCCCAATGTTCATTGCAGCACTATTTACAATAGCCAGGTCATGGAAGCAACCTAAATGTCCATCGACAGACGAATGGATAAAGAAGACATGGCACGTATATACAATGGAATATTACCCAGCCATAAGAAGTTTAAAAAATTGGGTCATTTGTAGAGATGTGCATGGACCTAGAGACTGTCATAAAGAGTGAAGTAAGTCAGAAAGAGAAAAATAAATATCGTACATTAACACATACATGTGGAATCTGAAAAAATTGGCATAGACGATCTTATTTACAAAGCAGAAATAGAGACAGATGTAGAGAACAAATGTATGGATCCCAAGGGGGAAAGGGGGGAGGTGGGATGAATTGGGAGATGGGGATTGACATATATGCACTATTGATACTATGTATAAAATAGATAACCAATGAGAACCTACTGTGCAGCACAGGAAACCCTACTCAGTGCTCTATGGTGACCTAAATGGGAAGGAAATCTAAAAAAGAGGAGATATGTATATGTACAGCTGAGTCACTTTACTGTACAGTAGAAACTAACACAACATTGTAAAGCAACTACACTCCAATAAAAATTAATTTAAAAAGAAAAAAAAGGTAGAGCCTAATTTCCCAGTGACCTGCCTCTCAAGAGTAGAACGAGGCTGCGTCATTAACAGGATAGCTTCTGCCTGGTTCTCTTTCTTGGATTCCTGACTCTGGGAGAAGTCAGCTGCTATGTGATAAGGACACTCAAGAGGCCTGTGAGAGGCCCACAGTGGGAGGAACAGAAGCCAATAGCCACCACCCACCTGCCAGCCGCGTGAAGAGCGACCTTACTGAGGACCCCCAGGCCTGGTGAAGCCTCCAGATGACATCGGCAGCTCAGAACTGCTCAACTACATGGCTCCCAAATTCCTGACCCACAGAAACTGTGGGAAATAATAAAAGTTTATTGTTGTTTCACACCAGAGTTTGGGGATAACAGATTACACAAGAATCGATAACTAGCACACCTGAATTTTAGTTCATTTTCATATTCATAAACCTGAGATTCTGAAACTAACATTCTGCCTCCTTTTTGCAAGTAAGAGTTGTCCACAGAGAGCTCCAAGGAGATTTTCCAGAAATAGGAGCCACCAAAAAGCCAGCAACATGGATAAGAATATGAAGGAAATGTAACAAACCACTAATACAGTGGTCAGCAGCAAATAGAGAGGAGTACTGGTGTTTGCAATTTACTTGGAAATGCATTTTAAAAATAAGATCAGGGCTTCCCTGGTGGCGCAGTAGTTGAGAGTCCGCCTGCCGATGCAGGGGACATGGGTTCGTGCCCCGGTTCGGGAGGATCCCGCATGCCACGGAGTGCCTGGCCCGTGAGCCATGGCCGCTGAGCCTGCGCGACCGGAGCCTGTGCTCCGCAACGGGAGAGGCCACAACAGTGAGAGGTCCGCGTACCGCAAAAAAAAAAAAAAAAAAAAAGATCAATTAATGGACGGAGAGATGAGTAGATGCGTAAACATGTGATTGAGCAAGTATGGTAAAATGTTAACAGTAGATTCTAAGTGGTGGTTATAGGAGTGTTCCCTATGAAACTCTTTCAGGTTTTTTGGATATTTGATACTTTCATAGTAAACTGTTAGGAGAAACAATCAGTAACATCACCTTCAAATGACCTCTAGTACTGATGTTTGCTTTCCTTTAATAAATAAACATTCACTGAGCACCTTCGAGCTCCAGGTTGTTCTAGGTGCTTGGGATTCAACGTGAACCAAAGATGTACGCCCTAGAGGGCTGAGAATCTAGCCTGGAACTTGCATCCTTATATTCTATTCTCTCAAATGATGCTTCAGTCCTCAGATTCTTTTAAACGGAGTCCTTAATACCGCAAGCAGGAAAATATATATGCCAGGAACCAGCATATCATTTGCTTGTATACAGCACAGATTTATAAATAGTTCATGCTTAAAAAAATATATTAGATGGAATTTCTCTCTATGATTTGGATACCGTTGGATCACTTTTAGTGGCACAGAGGCCCCAGAACAGAGAGTAGATTGAAGACTGACATCAAATTAATGATGCAGAGGTCTGAAACTAAAGAGACCTATTAACCATGAGGAGGTCAAAGAGTTAGAAAATTAGAATTAGCACAAAACTGTCCAAAACATTTTATTCTGTCCCCTACTCCATCCTCCTTCAGGGAGTTGACACAAGAGGAGATGGTACTATCTTTCTGCTCCTTTCACTTACCCTAATTCTCATTTTCAACACTCCCCTGTTAGAAACCCCACCTCTCCCGATGTAAAATTTAGGTGATTTGGGATCCTCAGAGCCTCGGTGCTAATCCTAGAGCTGGAAAGTCTAGGGTGACAATATGGACTTGTCAGAGTGGACCTGGTGCGCCCCTATGAACGATGAGGCATCGCCGCACGGCTTAGGGTGTCACCATGGACTCTGGCTGTCAGTAGAGACCTTGGTCATCCATTGGGAACAGTAAAGGGACATAATGAGAAGGAGACTGGAGAAAATACTGGGGATGTTAAGCAACCTTTATGAAAGATTCTCTCTGTGCCAGACCTGCAGTGGGTTGTAACCTGCTTCCCACAGTGGAGAGGACCCAGAAGGTAATATAAGCTCCTGAATCTCTGCTGGTAAATTGCTTCCCACCTTCTTGGGGGACACAACTACCAAAAAGGATTCCCAGAATTGGTAATAAAGGGGTTCCCTAACGAGAGACTTCCTTATCTCTTACACAAGAACCAATTATTTACCCACAGAGATTTTGGATCCTACGTGTTGAACTGAGGTCACAGGGCTGGGAAAAGATGTAGTTCCCATATACAGACACTGTCTGGCAGCAGAATAAGAGTCTGGGGGTATACAATACCCAGGGCTTAGATCAACAAAATATCAACGAGCATCTGAGTTGAGCACGGCTGATTCTCAGTTAGGCTAAGTCTATTTTGTGTATACATAAACGCAAACTCTCCAGGTGGATGATAGAGGCATGCTCAGAAAGGTTCTTGATGGACAATAAATGGATTCCTTATTCTAATCTGGGCCGTCTAAAACCATCTTCTCTGAAAGATCAACTGTCTTAAGGAAACAAACAACACAATAGTATTTATCCTACTTATTTCACTAATAACTCCAGTGACCAAAAGTAATGGTAGTTTCAAATAACTTTCAAAGTAAAACTGAGAAATTTAAGATGATAGTTTCTATTTTTAAATATATTAGTAATTAAACTTTAAAAGCATTCTAATTTTATTAGGAAGTTTGGATTAACATATATACACTACTATACATAAAATGGACAATCAACAAGGACCTACTGTATAGGACAGGGAACTATACTCAATATTCTGTAATAACCTATATGGGAAAAGAATCTAAAAAAGAATAGATATATGTATATGTATAACCGATTCACTTTGCTGTACACCTAAAACTAACACAGCATTGTAAATCAACTATATTCCAATATAAAATTAAAAAAAAATTTTTTAGGCATGCTAATTTTAAAAACTACTCCCTCGTTTTAAGTTGGATTTACTTACAAAGAGAATAAAAAGAAACTTTTTCTAGCACGTTTTGTACAAACAATAATCTTTATGTTAAGCATAAATTCTCTTTTTTATTTACTTCTTATTGAAGGCTGATGTTACTGTATTAAAAACAGAAACAATGAGCTAGTCAGATATTAAAAACACATTTGTTTTAATGAGCCAATATATTCATATTTTATAGCAAAACTTCAGGAGGACCTTAAAAGATAATTTAAAATATTACATCTACAAGCATCAGAATGCAAGAGCACTTGGAAAGACGGGTCTATTTTAATTGAACGCTCGTAAAAATGCAGAACCTTCTACTTTTGCCAAGAGTTATCAAATTTTCCCAGACACTTTATGACTAAGCCTTTAAAATTTCGTTTTACTAAAAAGGGATCTAGTCCTAAATATAACTCCTGGTAAATCTTTCAATAAATAATTGCTATATCTACATACAATAGAAATGGCATAATATTAAAGACAAATATAGGATGTTGGGATTCGTATTTCACATGGTTAAGACTTTAAGACTAATAGTAGCTAAATTTGAGCTAATTGGGACAAGTACAGCTTATAGGCACATTATTGGAATCAGCCCGAGTGCCCTCGTCCGCCCACATGCCTGCCCCTTCCAGACTTGCTACACTCCAGGCCGTGCCACTGCAGACGTCTTTGAGGAAAGCAGACAGTTATTATGCGTTGAGCTGTGATTCCTGAACTGAAATCTCAACCACTTAGGCTATCAGACAATTATATTACACAGGATTTATTTTAATCTTCTCACTGTAATACTTTTTCAACAGAGTTATGGACACAGACACCGGGGGGCCAGCACCTAATGTCTGAGGTCACATTAATGCAGCCTAACATCTTATTGTCACTAAGATTGGGGTTTTTTTCCCCACGTCTGCCTGCTTAGGGCTTCCCTCCCCCCAACCCCACTTTCTATTATTACAACAGTATATTTGTTAGTAAGGTAAGTACAAACATAATAATAAGTAAGAAACAGGGACTTCCCTGGTGGTCCAGTGGCTAAGACTCTGCGCTCCCAATGCAAGGGGACCAGGTTTGATCCCTGGTCATGGAACTAGATCCCACATGCCACAACTAAAGATCCCACATGCCACAACTAAAGATCCCACATGCCGCAACTAAAAGATCCCACGCTGGGACTTCCCTGGTGGTCCAGTGGTAAAGAATCCACCTTCCAATGCAGGGGATGCAGGTTCAATCCCTGGTCAGGGATCCCACATGCCACGGGGCAACTAAGCCCATGTGCCACAACTAGAGAGAGAAAACCCACATGCCACAACTAGAGAGAAGCCTGTGCGCCACAACAAAAGATCCTGCATGCCACAGTGAAGAACCCACGTGCCTCAACTAACACCCAATGCAGCCGAAAATTTTTTAAAGATTAAATAAAATAAATATCAAAAATAAAATAAAAAGACACTGGAAGAACACAGTTAATTTTTTTAAAAATAAAAAATAAATAAAAGATCCCGCATGCCACAGCTAGGACCCGATGCAGCCAAGTAAATAAATCAATATTTTTTAAAAATAGGTAAGAAACATAATAGTTATAGAATATAAGTAATTTTTATAAAGGACAGTTTGGGAGCACTATATCCTCTAAGAACCCCAAAATGTATGTGGTTTCTGAATATGCTTGATAAGTAACCTTCAAGAGTTAACAGGGAACCTGGCTCATCGGGAAATGTCAACCTTACATAAGTGTCAGGGTCAAAGTCATCAGTCATCTAGTCCCAGAAAAGTACACCAAATTGTCCTCTTGGTGGATGCTATGTTCTATTCGACTGTGTATATTAAATGTGTGAAGCTCCAAAACAAAACAGTAGTAAAAGCACAAACTTCCAAATTAAAGCCATGAGACACAGGACTAGCTCACAAACAATATTTAATAAACAGGTTTTATGACTCTCTCAACAAAATAATAACCCTTTCCACTGCTGTAGCAGATGCTACAGCGTGTTCACGTCTCATTTCACCTCCAAGGTAACCCCTATGAAACAGACTATACCTTTATCCCCTCCTCCAGGACCGGGACCACAGTGAGGTGAGCCAGGCACTTGCCTCAACTGCAAACTTTTAAGAGCGTGCCAAAAAACTCAGTAATCAACAGTTAAAGTTTTTGAATATTTTAAATAGTTTTACACAGCAAAAGTGACGCAAAAATTAAATTATGAAACAAAAAATCAAAATTTTAAACAAAGACAGGGTCAGTATCAAATACTGTTGTTTTATTTTGCCTCAGGGTACAGCTCAGCTCAGTGAAGCACTGCCCTTTTCCAGGACAAAGAAACTGGGAGGGAGCATTAAGTACACACCCAAGACTGGAAGGCTTGTTAAGGCAGAAGTAGGACCAAACCCGCCCAGGTACCTATGTTAACAGCAGGCCAGCCGCCCTCAGTGAAGTTCTCCATTTTACGAGAGGAAAATCTCCACTGTGAGTTTGAAGAGGCTAATATCCAAGCTCCCTGAAGTAATATTATTCTTAAACAATCTGAAGGTGGAACTGCACTCCATCAAACTCACAAGGAATGTAAATTAATAGAAAGGCCAATAAAATACTAATTCATTTATTTCACTGACGCAACGTATATTTCTGAAGCCAAATTTTTTAATAAATACTTACGGGTGGAAGAGTAAGTGTCCTGAAAGAGCCTAAAAGGAAAACAGGGAAGAAAACAGTCATAATTTAAATACAGTGATATAATACAAAACTTGTACGACTCTCTTAATACTCTTTCAGATGTAAAGGGAATCAGACTTACAGAATCACAAACTTATTTAGCCAAACCTAAACAACTGTATTAAATCCCAGAACACCCAAGAGATTATTACATATCCTTGTGCCAAAGAATTAAGACTTAAAAGGCGATCAGTGGGTAAACCTCTCCCAAAAAATTAGTTACGTTCTGCTTCTCTTTTCCATGTGTAAGTTGCTACTCCTCTGGTTACCCTTTTAAGGCTGTACATGTTTGAGGGACACTTCATACAGTGTACAGAGGGAAGCTGAGGTTCATTTCTAATGTTCATTTCTCATACACTCATGACAAAGGGGAAAAAGGAAGGCATTAGTCACATCAGGGGTGAGCTGGGACTCATAACTGACCATTAGTACTAAAATGATGCAGACTTTTTTCATGTAAGTTCCTAAACCAAGACTGCTAACTTAACTCATGCCAATTCCTCATCAACTCTATTTATTGCAAGGGAAAAAATGTTTCAAGTTAAAAATGAAAGAGTACTTATTCAAAGTTCCCATTTAAGGGACATGAATTCAGAGGTGGTGACAGGCCCTCAGTTCCTTCATTCATTGAAGAAACACTTATAAGGTTACCACAGTGAACAAGACAGACAATGGTCCCTCTCTCTCCTCCTGGAGGCCACATGTGCCCACCCCATGGGAACAGACAGGTACAGTATGGAGCGGGGGTTAAGCAAGTGGCCTCTGCAATCAGACCACATAGGTTCTATCCCAAATCAGCCACATACTAGTCCTGTCCTTGAACATGTTACCTGATTCTCCAGGTTCAATTTTTTCATCCGCAAAATGAAGGCAATCACACAAGGTGGCTGCAAGGAATAAGTAAGCCAATCCCTGTAAAGCGTACAGAACAGTGGCTGGCATTTAGGAAACACTTGATAAATATGTCATTACACTGCCAGAAAGCTTGAAGAGTCACCCACTGGCATGTCAGTGTGCCTCTATGGCAGTGGGCTTCAGATGTTTGTGATGGAGTACTCAATCAATACGAATATTTGGTGCACGGTACCATGTCAAGTTAGATTTATAAAGTTATATACATGCACTTTCTCAACCAAAATATAAATATTAGAAAACCTGACTTTCTTAGTTTTTCTCAATAAAATAATGGAAATAAAAGTTAGTATATTTTCTACCTACTCCCTTATAAATGGTCTTGTGACTCCCAGATGTGTGCACCCCACTTTGACCACTGCCCCAATGGGCCTCAGTGAAATACAAGTATGTTCTCAGAAGCAGATAAGCAACTCATCAAAATCACTGATCACACAGCACAGATCAGTTTATCTAATAGCTGTCACCCTAGGAAGCAAGGAGCAGCGCTCTTCAATAATTAGGACACAGGACAAAGAATGTCTTGAAAAGGTGAAGGAGGAAGAACAATTGAACAGATATAGGTCCACACGGAACGGCTGCTATAGAGGGGGGGGGCACTTCAGAGGGGCCACGGGAGGCGCCTAGGGGAAATGATGCAGAGTCTAGGGCTGTAGGATAAGGAAAAACGAGCCAGGTGAGAATGGAGGGGACCAGTTTCCAGGCAGAGCAGCAGCAAGTGCAAAGGCATGGAGTCTACTGAAGAGAAGAGCTGTGTGAGACCCGACCAGAGGCAGGAGAGGCAGTAGAGATGAGGCTGGACCAGACCACAAAAGGCCTTTTAGACAGGCGAGCCCTCACCAGAATGGTCTGGGTCACACTGTTATCCTCGCATTCTGATTGAGTATTCGTCCCGGATCTTTTTTTGGTTTAGCAAAATATTAATATGAGATGGGTTTAACCTGCACAAGATTTAACTTTGAAATTGTATCATCATGCTTTGAGAACACCTCCATTTGTGGGAAGAAACTTCTGTTCATTAAGTTCTTGCTTTTAATGGGAGAGGCATATTCTATACTGAATTGAAGGGAAATTGAGAAGCCCCATAATGGTGCAGCAACTAAACTTGATGAAACACTCAAAGGAACCATAAATAGAGACAACTAACAAGTTCTGTCTTGTAAAAATATTTGTTGAGAAGAAGCATAGACAGACCCTGCAAAATATTTGGGCTGAAACACATAAACAGTTCCATATGGGAAAAAACTGAAATTGAGGATATCCTCCACACATCAGAATTTTCTCTGATTTTACCAGGTAGCTCAGCACTTGTGGACAGTGTTTTCTCAACTAAAAATATTATGGTCACTGTATACCAACAATGAACAAGTGGAACCTGAAGTTAAATTACAAGGTCCACTTACATTAGCACCCAAAAAAAATGAAATAGGCATAAATCTAACAAAATGTGTACAAGATCTAGATGAGGAAAACTACAAAACTCTGATAAGTGAAATCAAATGGAGAGATATTCAATGTTCATAAATAGAGAAACTTAGTTGTCAAGACATCAGTTCTTCGCAACTTGATCTTTAGATTCAATGCAATCCTAAATCCTAATCAAAATTCCAGCAAGTTATTTCATGGATGTCAACAAACTGATTCTAAAGTTTACCTGGAGAAGCAAAAGACCCATAATAGCTAAGCTAATACTGAAGGAGAACAAAGTTGGAAGAATAATGCTACCTGACTTCAAGACTTACTATAAAGCTACAGTAATCAAGACCATGTGACACTGGCAAAAGAACAGACAAATATATCAATGGAACAGAACAGACAGCCCAGAAATAGACCCTATAAATACTGTCAACTGATCTTTGACAGGCAGAACATAGGGTAATCTTAGGGCAGTGAAAATACTCTGTATGATATTATGATGATGGACATATGTCATTACACATTCATCAAAACCCACAGAATTCACAACACCAAGAGTGAGCCCTCACATGAACTATGAACTTTGGGTGATTATGATGCATCATTGCAGGTTCATCCTTGGTAAAAAAAGAAAAAAGAAAAGAAAATGTGCCATTCTTGTTAGTGATGTTGATAACAGGGAAGGCTATCCATGCATGTGGACAGGGAAAATATGGGAAATCTGAAAAAAATATTTTTAATTATTTGAACGTTCAAGTTGAACATTATTATGATAATGGTCAGATAACTTGAACATTCAAATAAATAATGGATTATAACCTGAATAAAATAAGAGTATGAGTTTGTGCTGATATATAATTTAATAGATGACTAAATGAAGGAGAAGATAAAGGGGTTTTTTTACAATTTTTAATTTATTTTATTGGAGTATAGTTGATTTACAATGTTGTGTTAGTTTCTGCTGTACAGCAAACAGATTCATTTCTACATATATATAAATATATTCAGAAAGTTATTCTTTACCATAGAATTCCAATAAATAAATGTATAAGGAATCATGGAACTAGAAAATTCCACAACAGTAATGGTAATAACTGATTCAGGCGAATAATCATCAAACTTGTGTGTACAAGTGGACTGAGTGAGACTCGTAAGAAATAATAAACCATTGCTGTTTGAAGCTACTAAGTGTTGGGAGGTTCATTCACAGCAAAAGATAACTGGAACACGTTTGAAATAAAAAAGATTAACTAGCAATATTAAGTATTATTATCCTTATTTTACAAATGAGAACCTGAATCACAGAGATATTAAGCGACTTCCCCAGGGTCACACAGGAAAGAAGTAACGGAGCTAAGATTCTAAGCCACTGCCTCTCAGTAGAGGAAGGGCAGCTGTACTTCTGTTCTTGCGTTCTACCCACCTTTGATTATTATAAAAGTTGCACAGCCTGTGTAGCCTCTTTGTGCGTGTCGACACCCTTACTGCCTCAGTCACACAGGTTCAACATCGCAATCCCCTCGGACTCCGGGCTCTCCTCAGCTCTCTGTTAGTCATCACCAGAACCTAGATTCCTCTTCCACAATGTTTCTCCCAGCCCTCAGTTACACTATAGGCGCTGCAATGGTGGAGCTAATTGAAACAATTCGTGTTATACAAGAACTTCTGGAAAGGATATAAAAGCTAGAAAATTTCTGAACTCTTTTTACCAGTTCTTCACACTACACCGTTTTCATACATTCGAAGCTAATTTCAAGATCGGAAAAACCCACCTTCAAAGGAAATAAGAACCACACGTGTCTAAGGTCGGGTTCCCTGGGAAGCCGACTCGGACACGGTGATTCAAGAGCAGGGCGAGAGCCGGGGACCAGCACCTAGAGAAGGAGAGGGATGCAGAGGCGGGACTGGGGATGAGGGGAGGGGAAGAGCCTCAACACAGGCTCAAGCCGCGTCCACGGGGCGCCCTCAGAAGCAGCGCTGACCCCTGAGACTTGTCCTGAGTTGCGGGGAGGGGCTGGACCTCGAACCAAGGAGGAGGTCCCCTGGGGCAGGGTGAGTCTCCCTAGCGGTGCAGCCCCCAGGAAGCTGGCTTGGAGGGCTGTGGGCTGCAACATTCCCAGCAGCTTCAGGGAATGAGTCTTCATGCCCAACAGGCTGGTTCCAGGCGGTACAGCATGGTACCCACCAAAACGTCCCACAGTGGAATAAAATCAGAAATACTAAACTGCAGGGAGCTGGGCCCCAGCAAAACAGCGCCCTCGATTATTGAGAGTCACTGATTTTTCATGACTTTAGGATAAACCGTCGGGCTTGACTATTTTGTCAGCCCAGTGACTGGAGGAAACAATGTGCTTCCTTTGGGCCTGACAACACTGGCTACCTCCCATCACCGGCAATCTCACAAAGACTAAAGACTGCGTGTGTGTATGTGCGCGTGTCTGCGTGTGTGTGTCTGCGTGTGTGTCTCTGTGTCTCTGTGTTTCTGTGTGTGTTGGGGAAGGGGGCGTAATTTATTTTGATCTAAGTGACACTAAGCAAGGAGAAAGTAAAAAACAGCTTCAAGTCTACAATCCTAATAAACCTAGTAGGTTGATCAACTGAGGGGCGAGCATTTCAGCGATTCAAAGCCATACCCAGATGTGAA